TCTAGCCCCTGTCCATACTTTTAGTAGCACTATTGTCTATGATGGATTAAAATGCTTACGTCTGTGTATTTTCTTGTGGAGCTCAAAGATTCTTGGACTAGCCTATAGGTAAGTGAATGAGAGTTATTAATAAACTCCATATGAGGACATTAACTTTGAAGGAACTTGCAAGATAATGGACCTTGAAAAATAACTTTTGGTATCATTTTGGAGACTGTATAATTATAGACCACTTAGTAATGCAAAGGAAAAAAGATTTTTTTCTTGCCTATTCTGAATTATGTACTCATTGAAATATATAGTGAAAGTGCCATGATTTTGACTAAATTCACTTTTTCCAACAATTCTGCTTCATTTTACGTCTTTAACGATTAAGTTAAAATTGACAGAATTTCTTGAGACTTACTGTTTCACTTTTATTTTCCTCTCCAGTGACTCATTACGTGGTTTTCTTTTGGTTACTCTTACCAAATCAGATGGATTCCAGGGCAATTCCCTTAATCACATGAGCAAACTTGGCAAATGTAGACTCTGCAGTAGCACTTGATCATTATTTTCCATTGTTGTTAATTAATGTCCTTTTTAAAAATGTGTTCTGTTTTTTCTATAATAGCAGTTGTATATACCAAAACTCAATTTCCAGAGAATTCTCCTACCAGAAGATGCTGTGGTCTGGAAAGAGGTAGGTGAAAAGATGGAAAAGGAATATGACAGCAGAGAAGTTGGGACATAGCATATTAAATTCTGTGTCAGAAAAGCAGCCAAGTGACACAGTCTCCATTTATAGATATAAAATAACTATTTAAAAATTTATTTTTATTTCATGTGTATGAGTATTTTGACTGTATACTGCTAAGTGAACTTGTGTATGCAGTGCTTGTGTAGGCCAGAAGATGGTGTTGAATTCCCTGAAACTGGAGTTACAGGAAGTCCTTAGCCACCATGTGGGTGCTGGGAAACAAACTTGGATCCTCTTCAAGAGCAGTCAGTGCTCTTAACTGTTGAACCATCTCTCCAGCCCCTAAAATGTTCTTGCAGAAGATCCAGGTTCAAATCCCAGTACCCACATGGCAGCTAACAACTGTCTGTAACTCCAGTCCCAGGGGATCTTACAGCCTCTTCTGACCTCCACAGGCATTGCATGACATGGGTGCACTTACCTACATGCAGGCAATATACACATACATATAAAATAAAAATAATAAAATTAAAAAAAAATTTACATCAGTTATGTTATGCTGTGGAGAAGATGGAACAGATCACAACAGGGAATGCATGAGGTACTGTAAATAGTGGAGAAAAGCAAAAACTGCCATTGAGTTTTAACAGGTAATAAAAATGTCTTTGGCTTCAGGACAATGTGTAGTCTTTAGCATATGTGAGATTTGAGGCTTAAATACTATTTAGTAAAGGATTTTATGTCATTAGCTACTTTGAGAGTGAAAGGAGGTAGATAACCCACAGAAGTTAAAAAACAGGCCACTTGCTTTATTTGTGTGTTTACTGGAATATTGTATAGAAAAATTCAATAGAGAGTACTTATCTGTGGCTTTTATTGGTACAAAAATCAAAACACACACATATAATTTTGAGAAGGATTAACTAAATTATTTTTGAGAACTTTTGCATGCCTAATTAAGAACTGCTACAATTTATGAACACAATATAAAAATTGCTAAAGTACTAGTAATTGGGAAAAATTAATCATTTTGCTATTAAACTGTTGCTGAGCTTTTAGTCATTTTCTTTTCCTCTCTGCTTCTGATTACCACATGCAAAGTATATTTAGATAAGATTTTGAGGAAAAACAAATAAGAATACAGGGTCTTAAAAAGTGACATTAAGAACAAATATGAGGAAAAGAGTAAAATTTGACAACTTATTTCAAGTGTAGTAAGAACTTATGTGAGAGAAATGACTCATCATCATCCATGGCTGACTCATTTTTCTCTACAACAAATACTCCTTCAAAGTGATTGATTCTAATTTCTGTAAATCCTACTGCATTATTAAGCAGACACTACTGTTGTACCATCTATAGTTTATTTTAAAGAGCTTGTAGAGGACACTTACTAGAAATTCCCATACACTCAGCTGCTGTGACTTCATGTGAAATACCTGCATAAGATGAAGTTAGTTCAAATCTGAACATGGATTGGGATGGGGGGGATTGGTAGGACTCATGAAGTTTCACCCCAGCCAAGTAGGTATTGGCAATTGATGGTTTAGGGGTAGAAGAGTCAATTTTCTTTCAGGGATGAGGCCCTTGAAAGGCTAACCATGCTCCAATTGTCCTATACCCATGTGCACACAGGCAGCACTGACTAAACTCAGTGATTTTTTTTTTTATGTTTGTTTCATGGGGCTGGAGAAATGGCTTAGCAGTTAAGAGCATTGACTGCTCTTTCAGAAGACCTGGGTTTGATTCCCAGCATCCACATAGCGGATAAGAACTGTCCTTAACTTTAGTTCCAGGGAAATCCAATGCACTCTTCTGACCTCTGTGGCATTGCATAACACAGTGCACTTACATGCATGCAGGCAATACATGCAAACACATAAAATAAAAATAAATAAAAAAACCCACTTCATTAATTGTGTTTAATATTTGATGTACATATTCCATGAACTCAGGCTAAAACACGAAGATTGCTGTGAGTTTGAGCCCGGTTGTGGTTATAGAATGAAACCCTGTCTCAAATAACTGCCCTCAAATAATAAGCAATTAAAATGTTTAATTAAATACTAAACTAAGAAGAATGGGACAGTACATAAAATAGTATGAAAAGTGTTTAATTACTGACTTAGTAAAATTGAATTTTATTTTGTTTGCCTAATATTCTGTTTTTTAGGCGTAACTGTGTCACAGAAGCTGATTGTTTATACATTAGCAGTTTTTCAATTACAGACCTTTTTTTGATTATTAAAGACTGACAATAATTAATATAAATAATATTTTCTCAAAACTAGCTTAGTGTGAGATGGGTTTATTGACATGATTTCTTTTATTCCTAGAGAGATAAACATGTTTTTTTGTTATTTTGGTATTTTCCCCTTTTTTTCTCAGTTGATAATTTTGTCTTTTGCTATAGAGAAGCCCATGTGAAGCCCATCTAGCAACAGGCTTTGAAATATTTGAGTAATGTACTGTTTGTGATCAAAAAGCTCAGGGCCTTGCATACGGCAGGCAAAGCTTCAGCTCTGAGCTGCGGCCCTGGCTCGTTGACTCATGTTAGATGAGCTTTGCCTGCTCACAGGTTCATGCACACAGATTCTTTTGACCTCAGCTTTGTAAGCGCTTCATAATTTCTGTGGGATTTGTCTACATTGCTGAATGTTAACCATTTTCATTTTAGATATGACTTTTATGGAAGAAAGATGTCCTTTGTTTAGAATTTCACTAACTGATGGATATTATTTATTTAACTTTTTTGTCTGCTGTGAATAAAGCTCTAGAGAAAATTCTTGTTTAATTTAAACAACAATAACACTCTGTTACCAGTGCCCTCAGTGTGGTGGTGCACGCCCTTTATCCCAGCACAACTGATGCAGAGGTAGGCAGATTTCTGAGAATGAGGCAAGCCTGGTCTTTACAGAGAGTCCCAGGACATCTGTCACAAAACCAAATCAAGCCAAGCCAAATCCAAGCCAAGCCAAGCCAAACCAAGCCAAGCAAAGCAAAGCAAAACTCAGTCACTTGTTATCTGATTCAGAGTAATAAGTTAGTTTGCATAGTGGCCTTTAAGGGGGCTTATATAGTGTGTTCTCTGTTACCTTTGAGACCTCATCTACTCAACACCCATTTCTTGCACACCCAGATCTTTTAAAAAATTAAAAAAAATTTAGATAGGGTTTCCTGTACCCCAAGCTGACCTGGAAGTACTTTGTAGACCAGGCTATCCTCAGTCTCACAGAGATTTGCCTGCCTCTGCCTCCTGAGAGCTGGAGTGCTGGGATTAAAGGTGTACATCACCAAGCCCAGTGTGCACATTCAGACTCTTTAAACTCCATGTGGATCTTTGGACATTGCAGATGAGCTCACACCTCACAGCTTTTGCTTTTGTTATATTTAGATGGAATATACTTTTTCCAAGCACTTCAATATATTCATTCATTTTCTTATAAATCTTCTTACTCAACTGAAAAATAAGACCTGTCTTAAAAGTATCATTTTAGAATAGCATTCCCCAATCTGTCCTGTTATTCCTTTTTTAAATTTTCTTCAGAGTAAAACTACCATTTGAGACTATGAATTTATGTCTATTTTTAATTGTGTGATTCTGTCCATGAAAGTGTAAATCTAGATTAATAGTTTAAAAATATTTTTTCTTTTGGTTCTACTAGTAGTATGTAAAAGAGTTGTTGGTACATAATGAATTAGATAAATTAATAGAAACTATTCCAACCATATCATTAATTACCTCAAAAATAGTTCTTTTTGAAGAAATCAGTATTTTTGAGGCAGTGTATCTCCTGTTCACTGGATGCATGTATGAATGGGCCATGGGGAAGGTGGGACAGATGAAATGCTATGTTTTGAATATGTAAGAGTGAATAATATCTTTAGATTACATCATAGAGAAAGATGATTTCTGATTTGACCAACAAAATCAGTCTTTGTATCCTACAAATCTCTTCACCTGTTTATATACTAGGCATATCTTACTGGATATTTTGAATCTAGGGCCAGGGTGGTTAATGCTGAATATTGACATCAAGTGTTCTTGGTTTCTGTTTCATTAGGTGTAACATGTGTACCAGTCGAATATACTACTCACAGTTCCTTGTGTTAATGATCTCTGCAGCAGCAACTCTTGTCATTTGTAGCAAGAACAGTAGTGGTCAATGGGATACCATTCAATTTTTGTGAAACTCTCAGGTAATATTTTTTTCCACGATTATTACATTTCTTTATAGTGAGGATGTATATTATACTAGTAATCTGAATCTTCTCATTGTTTCCCCTAGGTAATATGACAGTGAATTTCTGAATTGGGCCAATGATTGAAGCAAACCATTCTGCAGTGTCTGAATTTGTGCTCCTGGGACTCTCAAATTCCTGGGAGATCCAATTTTTTCTTTTTTGCTTTTCTTGTGTGTTCTATGTATCCAGTTTGACAGGAAACCTTGTCATAGTTGTCACTGTCACTTCTGATCCCTGCTTGCATTCCCCCATGTATTTTCTACTGGCCAACCTCTCTGTTATTGATCTGATATTTTGCTCCATTGCAGCACCCAAAATGATTTGTGATCTTTTCAGAAATCAGAAAGTCATCTCTTTTGGGGGCTGTATAACCCAGATATTTTTCAGCCATGCTGTAGGGGGCACTGAGATGGTGCTGCTCATAGCCATGGCCTTTGACAGGTATGTGGCAATATGTAAACCTCTTCACTATTTGACAATCATGAGCTCACGAATGTGCATTTTAATTTTAATGGCTGCTTGGATCATTGGTCTTATTCATTCATTGGTCCAACTGGCTTTTGTTGTAAACTTGCATTTCTGTGGCCCCAATGTATTAGACAGCTTTTACTGTGACATACCACAACTCATCAAACTTGCATGCACAGATATTTATAGACTGGAGTTCATGGTCACTGCTAATAGTGGCTTCATTTCCTTGGTTGCGTTCTTCCTGCTCATCCTCTCTTACATCTTCCTCCTTGGCACTGTTCAGAAGCACTGCCCAGGATGTTCATCCAAGGCTCTTTCTACTCTGTCAGCTCATATTACTATAGTAGTTTTATTTTTTGGTCCATTAATTTTTTTCTATGTGTGGCCTGCTCCTTCAACACATGTGGATAAATTTCTAGCCATATTTGATGCAATTTTGACACCATTTCTAAATCCTGTCATCTACACATTTAGAAACAGAGAGATGAAGATGGCAATCAGGAAAATATTCTGTCAGCTCCTAGGTTTTAGAAAAGCCATATAGATGGCTTGATTGATATGTAAAATTTCAAAGTGAGTATGGAAATTCCACATTAGCCATTTCTCTCAGAGTTTTTGGATTAGAAATCCTTTGAGCACACTCAGAAACTCATGACCAACCTTGTGTGTGTTTTCTGCTCCCACAGAAGAATGGAGGGTGGTTTCCTTGAAAAGATTGTATTTTTATACAACATACAGAAACCAAATATTTTATGAATTATTTTTAATTCTCAAATAACTGTGCCAACAATTGATTTAATATGTGTTTGTGCTATAGGTAGTCTTGTTTCCAACAATAACTATACCAGATTCAAGCTTTTCTGCCATCGAATTGGAGTGTTTCTATTTTAAAAAATACTTTGTTTATTATTTTTATTTTATGTGCATGAGTGTTATGCTTGCATGTAGGTAAGTGCACCCATGTCATGCAATGCCCTCAGGGGACAGAAGAGGCTGTTGGATCCTCTAGAACTGCAGTTACAGACAATTGTTATCTGCCATGGGGGTGCTGGGATTTGAACCCGGTCTTCTGCAAGAACAGTCAGAGTTCTTAACCATTGAGTCATCTCTCCAGCCCCTGGAGTGTTTCTTAATGCCATTTTTCATTACCTGCCTGAATTTCACACATCCTCTTTTCCCATTTCTGCTTTATTTTCTTGGCCTTTTAATTATGCGCAAACACTGGAAACTACCTTTAGAATTTGTGATTGCTTATACATTATAACCCACAGATCTTGTTTTCACACCCCTCAGAGGTTCCTTCCATACAATGAAGAGTATTTTCTACTTGAGTCTTAGCCAAATAGATCAAGTGTTGGTAGAGGTATTATAAATGGTTAGATTGTAAATAATTTTATCTTTGTGAGCTCCAAAGCTTCTTTAGTAGCTTTTAAATTTTGCTTTTTTAAACATAGACATATCCATAGAAAACTCATTGCTGAGGTCCAATAAAAGTCTACTTATGAAAGCATTAGTGTACCAGATTTGACCCAGTGGCTATAGTCTACCAACCCCTAAAATAGATTTTGTCCAACAGATAGATTTATTTATTCCACAAATATCACAGTGTTTTTCTCATAACAACAATTTGACATGAAAGGGAATAAAGGAATGTTGCAGAATAAAATTCACATTGAGATGCAGAAATTCTATAACCAATCACATGAGCTACTTGTGTTCTGGTAACTTTTCTGAAATTCAACTTTGTTTTCAGGCAGTACGTTACTGTGTAGCCAAATTGGGCTTGAATAATCTAGCCTTCTGCCTCAGATTCCTCAGATGTGGGGTTACAGATGTGCATGGGCACAACTGGCTTTAAATCTTTCTTTAAAGATAGAAATAGAACTCAGTTTTATGATGAGAAGATTAAGTGAGATGGTATTTTATAAAAATATAAATTTAATTCATATGAGCAAAGTCCCAGGAGCCTGTAAGACTCTGTTTCCATAAGGTCAGATACTTCACCTCTGGCTGTTGTAATTTTTCTGCCCCCTCTTCTGCCATGGTCCCTGAACATTGGGTGGGTGAAGTTTAATATAAGGGTCCTGTCCAGGGACCCATACTCTGCATTTTCTTATTCTGTACACTTTGGCCAGTTGTGATTGTTTGTGTTCATCACCCTCTGTTGTAACTGTGACAACATGCACAAAATGCAGGGAAACCCAATCAGACAAAAGCCAGCATAGAACTTGGGAAATGGGCAGGACGCCACAACTTTGGCAAGGAACAATTGGCAGCTGATCACTGATGGGTGAGGGAGAGTTTCTATTCTTTAAGAGAGTTAACTACTCAGACTGAACAGCCTCTGGTGGATGAATTCACATGAAGGTACATTTGGTTGCATAAGCTTGACTCAACAGGCCTCAACATGTATGATAAAATGCCTGAAGTCCTGTGGGTGGTCTGATAGGGGGTGCAGGTATGGGAGAAGAGGCTAAATATGATTAAAATGTTTGAAATCCACAAAATCTAATAAAATTTATTTAACAAAAGATTGATAAAGAAAATAAAATGCCAATCTTATACTGACAGATGTGTGAAGGCTTGAGCTCTGATCTGAAGTCAACTCAGAGCTGGAACAGGAGGCCTCGGTTCCCTGGGAACCTGAATGTTCTTGATCTTAAGTTATTCTTATCATAAGACTGACTGTTCCTTGAACCCTATTAAAGGTACATAAGTAAGCTTGTATAATAAAGCTACAAAGATAGATAAGATCCCAAAAAGGGCTGAGCCCTGGAACTTGAAGAGATTGTAAAGGTCAGGAAGGTATTGCAAATGTCAGAATGAGATCATTTGGCTTGAAAAGAACATTTCTCTTTGTCTTCTTTTACTATAAATAAGGTTGCTTCTTAGAATAAAGTATGCATTGGTTCACACTCCATTGCATCCCCTGTGTCCTGATTTCTTCTGAACCTATACCTCAGGATTCCGAGGCTTGAATTATGGTCACTGAACCATGACACAGATGCATTTAAATAACAGATAGTAACTGCAAAATTTCTAAAAATTTCTGTATATTTTAAACAAAAGTGAAAATGTTAAAAATATCTATTTAAATATCAGCCTGTGGACTGCACTGTATGTATTTTTTACAGTCTATGAACATAAAAATAAAATTTATCTCATTTATCTACCACACATTAAAGTTGTCTCCTATTTCAGTCCCATGTATGATCAATAAATATCTTCAGATACATTGCCATGATCTTGTCTTTTATTTTGCTTTAATGTATATTTTTATTGCTCTGTACCATCTAAAGAAATAAAGGTTTGAGGCTGGAGAGATGGCTTAGTGGTTAGGAATACTAACTGTTCTTGCAGAAGACCAGGGTTTGAATCCCAGCACCCACATGTCAGCTAACAATTGTCTGTAACTCCAGTTCTAGGGTATCCAACAGTCTCTTCTGTCCTCCGCAGGCTTGCACAAGATGGGTGCACTTACCTACATGCAGGCAATACGTGTATACACAAAAAATAATAAATAAAATATTTTTTAAAAAAGGTTTAACATCTTACATCCTATAAAATAACGATGGTTAATGTTTGCAGATTATATATCAAGTGTCTAAAATTGCTTTTAATTTTACCTGCCTTAATTTATACCATCCACAGCAATCTTGGAGGAAAATATTTCCATAATTCTCATGTGACATATAGGGAGATGGAGGTACTGAGAGGCCAGGAACTTGGTAAAGAAAAATAAATGGTAGATTTGAACTTGAACCCATGCAGTTTAGCTCCACATCCTGTAATCATTACATGATTTGCATTCCTCTCATAAAATAGATCTAACACTGATATTGGTGAATCCAGGCTTACATATATGCCATTCTTTTTTTATGTTCCTTTCCTCTGTACTATATCATTTTCTTGCTGATGACAAAGCCACTATGTGGAAC